TTGTCTTCTCACACTTTTTTTTTTCCTGAGGAAGATTGGCCCTGAGCTAACATCTGTTGCCAGTCTTCCTCTCTCTCTTTTTTCTCGCTAAAGCCCCAGCACATGGTTGTGTATCCTAGTTTCTCTGTGAGGCGCAGCTGGCTGTCTGGTTAGCAGAGGTCGCCTGCCTTGCGCAGAGACGGATGGGAGACCTCAGTCATCATTAAGCTTTATTGACCAGCACGGCTGGAATTTCCTACAAACGTCAACAGCCAAGTCTTAGTGCAGAAAGTTCAAAACAGTGAGAAGAGCGAACTGGGCGTGGCCGTGGGGAGCAGCAGGAGTCAAGGGCGGAGAGCGTGGAGGGGCTCGGCTGCGGTCCAGGAGCCTGAGACCTTCTCTAAGTATCTGAGCACACAGGCCCTCCAGTCACCCCACAAATAGAAATCGAAGACCTCCCGTGGGCTGTGAGTGATTCAGAAGGTCCCTACATCAGGCAGTCCCTGTCCTTAATCAGACACCTACTGTGCGCTCCACATGGCTCAGGCCCCCTCCAGGCCGGGACGTTTCTGTCCTCACCCTCTCAGAGCCTGCGGCACTGCGTCAGGCCGGCTGGGCGGACCACGGCGCGGCAGCCACACTGGGCTCCAGGTGCCCCCGTCAGAGCCCAGTGGGAGACAGACACGGTTCCAGGTGTTTCAAGCAAAGGAAGTTGGGGCCAGCGTTGGCCGCACAGCCGGTGGAAGAGCTGACGACCAAGACTCAGCTGCACGGTCAGCAGCTGCAGGAAGCCACGGCTGTCGCTGGACGAGAGGGACAAACGCAGAAGGCACTGGTGCCAGAGCCAGGGCCCCAGGTCACCCAGGGGGACTAGGTCCCAGCAGCCCAAGCAGGAGGTGGAGGTGAGGTGGAGGGGCAGCCACTGCTGGAGAAAACCACCAGGGAGAAAGCGGGGAGACGCCCGGGAGCCCCTTCCTCCCGCCCTCTGCTCCAGCCGCGCCTCCCGTTGGCTGATCCCGGGTCTGAGCCAGCTGATTGGCAGCCCAGCAAATAAGGACCAGCAGGCAGGGACCTCGCACAGGATGGAGCAACCCGGCTGGGCGCCGCTTCTTGCAGGATGGACCCCACCTCCCTCGTGGGTGACTTAAGAGACTTTTAAGGATTCCTTTGATGATGTTAATTTTTCAGCTTACTGATTCACTTAGAACCTAATCCACAATAAAGATTCTCCACTGGATTGAAAGTCTGGCTTGTTACGTGTGCCCCTCTCAGGCCAAATGTCAGCTGGTCTCACATCACAGTCCCTTCTCAAGGTGCCTTGGGAAACGGCCAGCTGTCCTCCTCCCAGGGGAGGCCTGCAGGGCCCTGGCCCACTGCTTGATCCCTGCCTCCCCTGTGACAGCTCTGTGACCTTGGCCAGGTTTCTCACCCTCTCTGAGCTGCAGCTGTAGTTGGGGTAACAATACCACCTCCTGGGCTGGTGTGAGGATCACGTGCGTGAGTCTGAGCCGGGCGCTTCGCCGGCCTGGCACACAGTCAGCACTCAGTGCCCACGTGCTTGTTCCTCTTTCCTGAGCCCCTGGCTGGGAGGGGCGCCACGCACCTTCTGCAGCTGCCAGGCGCGTGATCCGGGCCTGCGGCTTTAAGGACGGGGTCCTGGCATTCACTGAAGCCACCCTCACGACGCGGACAAGGGGCTTAACCTCCTGCAGAGAAGTGGCACGTGGAAGAAGCTTCTGGCAACACGGGCGCAGGTGGGTAGCGGAACGCAGCCGCGGGACACGGCAGGGCGGACGCACAGCTCCTGAGCCGGGAGACACGCGCCACGGGGCTGCTGCTCGGAATTCGTCTTCACTGTCACAGGGCGTGAGCGGAAGCGTCTGGGACGCTGGGGTGTGACCGACCTCCAGGGGAGAGTGGGCCCCCGGGGGAGCGGGTGGAGCCTGTTCCCGGCCAGCAGGGCGCCCGTGGGACCAGCATAGTTTTCGCCGGCACACAGTTCAGCCTTTTCTTTCTCTTTGAATAGTTGCACATTTATTGTACCGTGTAAATACTATGGTGACGAGAGAAACAAAATAGCACACATGTCTTTGGGCAACGTTGGTGGAAAAAATCTCCCCAAAGACATGCACACTCCCGTCGGGGCCCGAGTCCTCCACAGACCGTTGTGAAGTGACGGCTTAACTGCATGAGCGACTATTCGGGGAACGTGTCTGACTAGTTGGACTGAGAAGGTGGTTTTAGCGGCGCTGCCCACTGCTTGTGGGGACGTTCGTGGAGCAGAGGGATTCGACACGGTCGGGGTGAACTCCGCGGCTGGTGGCTGGATGGGGGAGGGGAGAGGATGCGGCTGCGCTGGTGGGAGGCGGAGGCCTCAGGGGGTCTGCAGCCTTTTCCTGCTGTCACAAGAGAGATGGGAAGCAAATTTGGCAAAATGTTACTGTTTCATCGGAGTGGCTGGGTGTCTACAATCTGTTACCTTATTAACTTTACCCTCCGTGTGTTTGAAATGATTTGCAATTTAAAAGATGTGGAGAAGTGGGTTTGGAACCGGAAGATGTAGTAACTGCAGGAGTCTGGTTTGCTGTTTGGAATCATTGTCCCCAAGATGGGGAACACTTGACATGTCAGAAGGATTTGAGTTATGTTGTGTCTACACACGAGTTCAAAACATACAAGCATGGCGGGGGGTCCCTCTGTCACCCCAGCACTACTCCTGTGATCAGCACTAAGGCCTTGGTAACACCCTCAAAAAAGATCCTTTCCTCTTAACCACAGCAAGGCCACTTGGAGGCTAACGTACATCACTTGGAAGCCTGTGTGTGTGCAGACCTTTTACTGACATTGTGAGTTAGGCAAACATTCGACAGAGAACCCCAGTAGTGGGGGTTTAAACAAGATAGAGCTTTACTTCCCACAGAAAAACAAAATCAGGAGGGAGTAGTGGCTTCCATCTCATAGTCTAAGAGGGCTGCTGTAGCTCCAGGCATCACATCTGAATTCCAGCCAGCAGAAAGGAGGAAGGCCGGAAGATGACCATTCCTCCTTCCTTTAAGGATGCTTTGCAGACATCACACACAGCACTTCCACTCACATCTTAGTGGCTGGCACTGAGTGGTTTGGCCACACCTAGCTGCAAGGGAGTCTGGGAAGTGTCATCTTTATTCCTGCCACTGTGGGCCCAGCTAAAAGGCAGGGATTCTATTACTAAGGAAGCAGGGCCATTGGATATTGGGGAACAAGTAGAGCCATCTCTGGCACAGTGCTGCAGGGGTGGGAGGCCGGTCCCACCATCTCTTCTACCCCGGAGCTCAGGTGGGGCCCAGAGGCTGTGGCCATGAGGTCTCATCAGAGCAACTCCACCATGCCCACCACACGGTTCTTTGCCAGGACTGGGGCCGTATTTGGAAGGATTTGTGGAGTGAAAAAGTGTGTCCTTGCAGAGACTGTGGATTGGGGTGAATGTCTCCCACTTGGAGCCCAGCTGCTGGGTGCCAGCCGTGCACCCTGGCAGACCGCTAACCCTCTCAAAGTGGTGGCCTCGCTGTAAAGTGGGCTGGACGTTCTACCAGCCCTGGGAGGTCGTCCAGGGTTAGAACTGTGCCCAGCACATAGTCAGCCCTCAATGAATGCAAGGCAGGGCATGCAGAACTCCCACTGGAGATTCGAGCAGTGGCAGGACCACCGCGAACCCACCACTGTCACAGGAGTTGGCACGTGGGACGTTCATGACCGGAAACTAACTAATTAACTAACTTCTCTCCCTCCTCTCTCTCTCTCTAACTTTTCTTTTGGAATACATATACACGCACATATCGTGCATGTGTTTTATGTAATCTTAAAAGTGCAGCTTGATGCCTTTTCTCAGGTGTAAATACCCAGGTAACTACTACCGAGTTGAGGATAGAGAATGTTTCCAGGGCCTGCACGGTGGCGTAGTGGTTAAATTTGCGCTCCACTTTGGTGGCCCAGGGTTCACGGGTTCGGATCCCAGGTGTGCACTTAGCACCGCCCATCAAGCCCTGCTGTGGTGGCGTCCCACATAAAACAGAGGAAGGTCAGCACAGATGTTAGCTCAGTGACAATCCTCCTCAAGCAAAAAAGGAAAAAACAAGATACAGAACATTTCCAGACCCCAGAAGGATCCTTTGTGTCCCCTCCTTGTTAGCTGCACCCCCACCCTGCTGAGATAACCACTATTCTCTCTCTCTCTGTAGACTGGTTTTGTTCTAGAATTTCATGTAAATGGGGTCGTCCAGAACACGCTTTCTTGTTTAGCTCTTCCACTCAACACAGTGTCTGTGAGATCGTCGACGTTGTGTGTATCCACGGCTTGTCCTTTTTCATTGCTATATAATACTCCACAATAGACCACAATTCGCTTAACCTTCCAGATGGTGGTGGATTTGGGGGTTTTCTCCTGGATTTGGCGATTGTGAATCAAGCTGCGATAAGCATTCTTGTTTATGCCATTGGGTGGACATGGCAGCAGAGCGTTTCTTCTTAGTAAATTTATTTCAACAAAACTAACTGAGCCAGTTTAGGAAAGAGTCGAGTAACTCAGCCTGGGGGTGGGGAGGCGTGTTGGTAGACGGAGGGAGATGTGCGCAGACGCCTGAGGTGCGACAAGCCCCGAGGTGGGGCTTGAGGGGGCGCTGCTTCCTGCTGCCACCCCCAGCACCAGGCTCTCCACGCCCAGAGCTCACGGCTTATTCTGCCCCTGCCAGCCTGGCATGAGGCCCTTTGTGCGCCCGGCTGGTCACCCTGCACCTTTGGGGACAGGACACCGGGCAACTCGGACAAGTCACAAGGCACAGACCTTCAGTAGCCGGAAAGTTCCACCCAGCGAGCCTGGCTCGTTCCTCTGAACAGGCTTCGCTCTGCATCTGGGGTTTTGCTCAGCGCCTGGGCCCGTAGAGCACATTCAAGGATCTTCCAATATAAACAATAAAACTTTGTGTACCCTGCATAAAAGTAATAGGTACTCATTATACTTAAAAGAAGAGAGAAAATTCAAAAGGGAAAATGTGAAAAATTTACTGAGAATGCCACTGCCCAAAGACAACTGTGTTGACATCTGGGGACTTTCCCTCTAGACGTCCGTCTGTACGTAGCTGCTGGTTTTCTTTGCAGCCTGGTTATTATCACACCACACGTATTATTTGACTTCGCCATTTAGCGTTGTAACATGAGTCCTCCTGCTTCATCATAAACCTGGTTTTGAGTGAGTGCACGCTGCTCCCCCGGCATCGACTGAGAGAGTCCTCAGTCTGTTGGGGTCTCCTCCCCTCCCCACCCCACCCGACCCTCACTTGAGCAAGTAGATATTTCTTTGCCTCAGGCGAGGGATGGGGCAGGGATAGCCTGCAAGTCGCTTCCTGGCTTTTGTTTTTCAAAAGCCTCAAGCTTTGGGAGCCCTGAGGACAGAGGTCTCCAAAGTAGGGTGTGCTGGGGCGCACAGGAGGGTGCATGCGGATGCTCAGGAGGATGCATGAGGCTGCACAGGAGGGTGTAAAGGAGGGTGCATGGGGATGCTCAGGAGGATGCAGGAGGGTGCGTGGGGATGCTCAGGAGGATGCAGGAGGGTGCGTGGGGATGCTCAGGTGGATGCAGGAGGGTGCATGGGGATGCTCAGGAGGGTGCATGAGGGTCATGGGGATGCTCAGGAGGATGCAGGAGGGTGCATGGGGATGCTCAGGAGGATGCAGGAGGGTGCACGGGGATGCTCAGGAGGATGCAGGAGGGTGCGTGGGGATGCTCAGGAGGATGCAGGAGGGTGCGTGGGGATGCTCAGGAGGATGCAGGAGGGTGCGTGGGGATGCTCAGGTGGATGCAGGAGGGTGCGTGGGGATGCTCAGGTGGATGCATGAGGACGCACAGGGATGCATGGGGAGCAGGAAGGTCATGCGGAATGTAGTTCTCCTGTTATCTGTTTGCATAACCCATTCCCCCTTGCAGCGAGGGTGGCCGTGACACACTTCTGGCCTACAAGGTGTGCGCAGCAGCCTGCTGGGGGTTTCTGGGAGAGCATTTGCTTCCCACCCCAGCACCCCCTCCGTCGTCCCTCTTGCAGCCCGCAGTCTCAGCGGTGAGAGCAGTCTGTGGTCGGGGAGTCATTCGACAGCATCTGAGCTCTCCAGGTCTCCACTCCCCACCGTGCCCTGCCGTCTCCCTGTCCCCGGGGCTGAGCATCCGTGGTCAGTCACCATTCCCCACGGACTGTCCGCTCCAGGAGGGCGGTGGCAGGTCTGTCCTCTTCACTCCTGTGTCCCTTAGCCTGGAACTCTGCTCGACACGGAGCGCGTGCTCAGGAACCTTTGCTGACCGACTCGTCGGGCATGAGCTGCTGTGCTCCCCACGCTCAGCTGGGTTGACAGTTTCAGGTCACCTGCAGGGTCCAGGGAGGCCTCGGGCTTTGCAGCCCCGCCTGAAAGTGTAGCTTGTCACTTTGTCAGAGTGGGAAGAAGGGTGGTGAGTCCCGGCCCCTGAGCAAGGCTCGCGGGGCTCCAGACCCCCGAGGCGGCATCGTTTAGCGATCTGGGCAGAGGCTGACGGACTGGTTTTGGTCAGGGGCCAGATAGGGAATATTTTTGGATTTGTGGGCCATCCTGTCTCTGTCGCAACGACTCAACTTGACCGTTGTCATGTGGAAGCAGACACTGGCCAAAGGTGACGAATGGGCCTGGCTGCGAGCCAATAAAACTTTATCGACAAAGACAGGCGGGGGGCTGGACGCTGCCCGGGCGGCAGTTTGCTGACCCCTGATGTGGAGTGCAGACCCGAGAGTCAGACAGCCTGGGTCTAAGTCGACTCACTAGGTACCACTCTGGGGAGTTTACTCATCTTTCTGTGCCTCAGCTTCCTCATCTACAAAATGAAGAGGGCGTGTCCTTCAGGGCCCCGTGGGAGACAGTGTTTCCCCCAGGGGGTCCCCGTGAAAAGGGTTTGGTGAAGGGTCTCTTCACAGGGGGCGCGGGGTGAAGGGTGAGGGGCAGCAGCAGGACCCGTTTCCCCTCCCGGGTCTGCAGGGCCGAGGACGGAACAGCAGCACCAGGCGCGGTGCCTGCGGCAGAGCTGGGGGCCGCTGCCGAACGGACGGGGTCGGGGGAGAGCGGGGGCACAAACCCGGGAGCCTGGGCGATGCCAGCCCCCGGTGCACAGAGCCCCATGGAGAACATGTGTCAGGAGCAGACCGAGGGGTCCAGCGCGGACGCTGGCGATGACGCGATGTTTAAAAATCAGAAACACGTGTCTGGCATTTGCACACCTGTGTGCACACCATCGCTCACAACAGTCAAAGGGGAAGCCACCCAAGGGCCCAGCAGCCGGTGGGTGGGTGAGGAAAACGGGGTCCATCCGTGCAACAGAGCCGGCGTCCGCCTCCAAGAGGAAGGAGATCCTGACCCGCTCCACCACGGGTGGGCCTTTGGGACGTCACGCCGAGAGGAAGAGCCAGTCACGGAAGGACAGACAGCGCGTGATTCCCTGGAGAGACAGAGAGCGGGATGCAGGGGCTGGGCTGGGGCGGGGTGAGAGCTCGTGTTCAATGGGGCAGAGTTTCAGTTTTACAGACAGAAAGAGCTCTGGAGCCCGAGGGGTGATGGTTGCACGACGACGTGAACGTCCTTAATGCCCCTGAACCCCTAAAGACGGTGAAACAACACGCACGAGTGGGGAGCATCGGCCACGTCACCCCGTGAGATGGGGACAGAGCAGCACATGAGCCCCCTTCACAGAGGAGGAAACAAGGCTCCGGAGGCTTCGGGGGGCGCCCGGCTCTCCCAGGAGTCCCCTCTGTTCCTTGTCGGGACACCGTCCCCGGACGTGCCTCCTGCACTGGGGCTCCCTCCCTCCACACTCAGTCGGTTGGGGATTATCCATCGTGACGGCTCTGCCCGCCACGTCTCGTCTGACCCAGTCGCTGGCGCCCCCTCCATCGGGCTGGGGCTCCCCTCCCCGCCGGGCTGGGTACCGTGACCTCGGGGCCGAGGCTTGGTTCCCGCAGCCTGTTTGTCATCCCTTCGTGGGCACTTTCTGTGCACATGGGTCCAATCCCATGTATCGGCGCCCTGTCTTCTGCACGCCCCGCTGTGCCCCACAGGTGACCCCGCGGACGTGCCTGGCCGCGTCTGCACACACAGACATGCTCACGTGCAGCTGTGCCTCTCTCTCCGGCAGGAAGTCTTTGAGGTGGAGCCCAATGGGCTGGGTTTAAATTCTGGCTGCACCGCTTACCGCTGTGCAACTTTGCACCAGTTACTTACCTTCTCTGTGCCTCAGTTTCCCATCTGTAGAATGGGGATGATGACAGAGCCTGCCTCTTGGAGCGTGTTAGTTTTCTGGGCGGCCACAACACAGGACCACCGACTAAGTGGCTTCAAACAGCTGACACGACTCTCCCAGAGCTCTGGAGGCTGGAAGGCTGACATCAAGGTGTCGGCAGCGGTGGGCCCTCTGGGGTCGCTGAGGGAGTATCTGTTCCGTGCCCTCTCGGAGCTTCTGGCGGGTGCTGGCATCCTTGACGTCGCTTGCCTTGTAGACGCGCTGCTCCTTCTCTGCCTCTGTCGTCACGTGACCTTCCCTGCATGTCTCTGTCCTTGTTATAAGGACACTGGTCGTTGGCTAAGGCCCACCCTCATCAGGGTGACCTCGTCTTAACCTGACCACACCGCAAACGCCCTCTTCAAATAAAGGCCGCCACAGGTCCCGGGCAGACAGGAACTTGGGAGATTCAGGCCCGGACGTGGGGTTACCGTGCGTTAATCTCCGCACGCGCTCACGACAGCCCGGGCACCTGCGCACGGCCCGTCCCGCGTGGCCTCTGCCGCCATCGTGACCCACGGGAGACACAGAAATCCCTCTCGTTGAAGCCGCGGTTCGGGGGCTTCTGTTCCCTGCGGCCAGATGTGCACGGCCTGAGCCGGAGGCTTCCAGGACCCTGCCCTTTCCCCGGGCTCCTCCTCGGTCCCCCCCACCCACCCCCTCGGGCTCAGTCCCACTGGGGAGGGCGCAGGCCAGCTGGAGACTGAGAAGCTGCCCCAAGTCCGGCTTCCCAACAAGGAGGCAACTACGGGAACGATTTTCTCTTTATCTCCCTCTCCTCCTCCCCAGCGCTGTCAGAGCATCGGAGCCTGGACGGCCCCTGCAGATGAGAGGGGCCTGTCCCTCCTCCTTGGTTTCAAGGACAGGAGAGCAGGCCTCAGAGAGGGGCAGCGACTGGGCCAAGGTCACACAGCGAGTTGGTGGGGGCCCCAGGACCCTGGCAGGCGAGGGGAGCAGAAGGGGCTGGGTGGGGACTGTGGCGCGCTGGGACACTCAGGGTCTGGCCAGAGGGAGTGGTCACTAGGAAGGCACTGGATCGTAGCCGTGTGGGGAGGCCCCTGCGTGACCAGGCCCACCTGAGTTTCCAAGAGAAGCTAAAATCCACGTTTGTGAGGGATACAACCTCGTAATTCAGAGTTCTGGAAAACACAGTGTGGGCCAAACCAAGTGGTCCTTGCTGAGAACAACGTCCGTACTTGGGTAACACAGTGCCCGTGGTGGGCACAGCCCAGAGGTGAGTGGGGAGGAGCATAGCGCCCTGTGTGGTGGGCACTTGGCTTCTCTCGGTCCCTGAGTAGCGAGGTGGGATCTTCCCGGCCTGCCTTCGTTAGTGCTCCGTCCAAAAGCCCCTTACAGCCCAGGGGTCTGCGTCAGCCTGCCATGCACGGTGTATATGTTGTGCACTGCACAAAGGCGGCCACTGCGCAGGCGATCCGGGCTGAGGTCAGGCTGTGCTTGGCTCGCTCGCTCGGCTGCTCATCCTGGGAGAGGCATCCGATCGTAACGCAGCCACCCAGAGGGCTCGTTCACCTAATTCCCATGGCGCTGTGGGCCAGGTGGGGTCCTCTAAGGAGACCAGGCCAAGGGGGATCAGACGTGTGGGAGGTTGATTCAGGGAACAGCTCTCGGGGGGTGGCGGGAGGGCCTTCGATGTGGGTCTGGCACCTGTGTGGGAGCCCCGGGAGCGGGAGGCGTGGAGGCCTCAGCACAGGCCTGAGGCGGTTTTTGTCCAGGCCGAGGGGGAGTCCTGGAGCCAGGCCCCTGGGGGTGCCCCACACCTGGGGCTGCCTTCATGTCCCTTGCGCACTCAGTTGTTGGTGGGGAGCACCCGGGGGACGCGGGGCGAGTTCAGAGCTCAGCAGCCGGGCTGTCGGTCAGTCAGTCACGTGCCCGCGGTGGGAGACCGGGGGACCCCATGGAGGCTGCAGTGCTGTGGTCCTGGGGCGGCCGGGTCTGTGGGGCGCAGTTGAGAGCAGCGTGCGCAGCCCGGGGGCTCCCCGCTGGCTTCTGCTCCGGGTAAGCGTCAGGGAGGATTTCCTTTCTGCACCGTAATCGATCTGGAACGGAGGCAGCACAGAAATGTGCCCTCTCTGTGCTCTCTGGAGGCTCCTGGACCCCGGGGTGTTGCCTCCTGCCCCAGGGCGGTGGGTGGCCTTGTGTGAATGTGACAAAGGGCCACACTCAGTGCTTTACAGGGAGACGTGCTCTGGAGGGCAGAAGTCCAGATGGGTCTAAGTGGAGGCGCGGGCAGGGCGGGTTCCTCCTGCGGCTCCGGGCAGGGCGCGTCCGGCCTCTTTCGGCTCCTGGGGGAGCGGCGTTCCTGGCGCCACAGCCCCTTCTCATCTGAGACCCTCCACGCAGCCTCTTCTCTCCTCTCTGACCTCCCGCCTCCCTCTTACAGGGACCCTTGTGATGACACTGGGCCGGCCCAGGTAATCCAGGACGATCTCCGTCTCGAGATCCTTGACTGAGTCACACCCGCAAAGCCCCTTTCCCACGTCACGTTCGCAGGTGGCGGGGTCAGAGCGTGGACATCTCTGGGAGCCACTGTTCAGCCGTTATGTCAAATAAACAAGGTGGGGAGGTGGCGAAAGTTCCAGGTTGGGAAGGAACGTCGCGGACCAGCTGTGTGGCTCCAGCCGTCTCCTGGCCTCCCTGGGCCTGGTACACACGGGCCTGGTCTCTGCCGGGCGACAGCTCCAGCTGTGGTGTGTGCAGCATCCATTCTCTTTTCACTGGTCACAGCTCGTCTGTTCTCTGGGGGAACAGTCCGTCTCCGGCTCTCAGTCCAGGTGCTGCACGTGGACGTGAACATCCTCTCCTCTCCAGTCAAGGATGAGCAAGGGGCGAGCCTGGCCCATCAGCATGGGTCATGACCTTGGCGGGGCCAGTGGTGAGAGCTTTACCTGGAAATTGGGCCAGGCTCTCTTTCTTCGAGGTGGCGAAGCCAGCAGAATGAAACCTGGAGCTGCTGGTGGTCGTCCTGCCTCCAGATAGGAAGACCTTGCTTGAGAGTAGATCTATAGAGAAGAAAACAGACTAAGAAGCAGAGGAAGGCCAATTCCTATTGACCTTGAGCACCTGGATCCAGCTGTACCTGAAGCTGGACAGGCCCTGAAATTTTCAGATACTGAGATGATAAATCCCCCTTTTGGCTTCAGCCAGCTTGAATTGAGTTTGTAATTCTTGCTACTAAGAGTCCTGACTGGTGCTCCCTTCTTCAATTTGGGCCACCCAGCCCAATATCGCAGAATTAACATGCCATTTTGCATGTAGGCACCAACCTCATGGGGGCCTCGCTTGCCTGCCTTCCTCTCCCTCCTCTTCCCCTGCCAGCTATGCTGTTGGGTGATACATCGTAATGTATATTTAACAGTGGCTCAAAATCGAATTAATTTAGATCGGTTAATAAACTGTGACATCCGTTTCTAAATCAAGCTACATTTTCCTCTTGAGCAACTAAATTCATGCCTGTTGGTTTAATTTGTTGCTATTGTAATCCTCTAACGCTGATGAAATTATGGAAAGGTTTCTAGTGAAATTACCCAGATTTGATTAGGGTTAAACATGTTAATATTTTTCCTTCCTGGGAGTCTTTGCAGAGAGTTCGCCCGGGAGCGTGTGGTTTCCACCCACCGTGGAGCGCGAGCTCAGGGAGCAGACTCGTCCTGTCCCTGTTCAGTGCATTTATTGAGCTCTGACTGTATGCACAGCCCTGGATATTAACGTTCTCAGTGGAGGGTCTGCACGCAGAAGAGGTTCTGAGCTTCTATGTGACAGTTATGGGGAATCTGGGGACACTGAGGGTCACCTCCAACTGTGCCTCCCAAAGGCCCCACCTCCAGTGGTACCAACCTGTTGGCAGTAAACCCAGCGCCAGTCCCAAGTAGGTGCACAGTTTGACCTTGAGCTCGACCCTGAGGAATTTCCTGCTGCCCAGCCGCCCTCTCCACGGCCCCAGGTGAGCAGGGACAGCATGAGGTGACAGGAGGGCAGGGACGAAGATCAGAGGCGCCAGACCCAGCAGAGGGAGAGAAGCCAGGCGGGGGCCGTCTGCTCCCTCTGCCCCGCCCCCTCCCGCTGAGGTTGTGGGCCTGCCTGGCCATTTGTTCTGGAATGTGCCGGCCTCGCCCCAGGAGCACATCATCGCAGAGGCATCTGCAGTGCCGAAGGCTCCAGGCTCCCTCCTTCAGGGAAGACGGCCTGGCTGGGAGCTGAGACCCAGGGCGGGGACGTCAGGCACAGAGGGCCGCCGGGAGGGTCCCCGGTTCGGACGTCCAGCCCGTCCACGAGGAGACGGTCTCCGGGAGACCCGCGTTAACCCTCCACGAGCTGGCATTCTGGTTGGCGGCTCCTGAGCTCGACGCGCAGTCCCCTGGAAGGGCTGCCCTTGCTTCCCCTCGGGGAGCGACGGGACCACCGCCCTTTGGGTCGGCAAAGTGCCCACCCCACGCGGGACGCCTCTCGGACCCCAGACGGGCAGGGCGAGGTCCCACGGCCGAGCCTCCGCCCATGCTCTTCCCCTGCCGGCCCGTCCTTTCCCTGCGCCCGAGCTCGGCCCTCATGTCTCAGCAGAGCCGCCTCCTCCTCGCAGCCTCCTCCTCCCTGACCTGCTCTCCCCCTCGCTCGGTGCTGCCCCTTGTAGAATCGATGGCAAACGGTGACTCGAGAACTGTGACATCGTTTCCTCACACCCACGCCCGCTGCCAGGCCAGTGAGAGCAGGACCCCGTGCCTCTAACCCAGAGGCCGCCCGCCAGTGGCCCGCAAATGGGCTTAGTTGCCCTCACATAGTGATTGGTCATTTTTAACAAATTAATTGGCATCATTTTAAAGTTAAGAAATTTTACACTAAAAACGTAGATTTGTGGCCTCTGTTAAAAAACTCAGAAGATCTGGTGACCCTGGGCCCTCCATTTTCACAGGACAACAACTGGCTGGATCTGGCCTCTAAAGGGGGAGGGGATGCTCTCCTTCACTTCACTCCACTCCCCACCAGTCCCTATTGCCCCACACGCCAGCCGCCTCACCTGTTTACATTGCCTGTCTGATCACTGTGGGTTTTGAGTTTCGACCCCTGTCTGGCCCTTTGTGTCCCTGGCCCCTGACTACACCTGTTGTGACCCTGGCAGCAGCCTGGTGGGACACATCTCCCATTTGTCAGACGAGGAGACTGAGGTTCAGAGAGGCTTGGTGCCCTTCCTGAGATCACACAGCCAATGAGCAGCAGAGCCAGGGTTTGAACCGCTGATTATGTCGTTCCTAAACCTGGGCTCCCTCCACCTCCACACACACACCATCGCTGGGCCCTTCCCTCCTCGTGTTTGGCTATTTGCCATTCCTTAAAAAAAAGGAAAATATTGACCACCTACTGTGTGCCGGGCCCCAGACAAAGCCCTGTGTAGCTTCTAACACGACATCAGGAGGCTGGGGAATCCTGCCTTTTCACTCACTGTTGTCAGGAGGGTGCGGTCAGGGTCATCTCAGCCGGGCTCAGCGTCCTTCGTGGGGGCCCAACATCGCCAGGACCCGGGCACCTTAGAGGCCGCGGCCTCCAGACCCTCCCTCTACCTCATCCCACGCCGCCACCAACCAGAGTCTAAGAGACGAGGTCTCCCACCTTCTGGAGTGTCAGCTCCCTGGGGCACGGATGTGGCCTCGTCTTGGTCCCTGCTGTCTCCATGCTGCCTGGAACAGTCTGGCACATAGTAGGTGCCCAGCAAATGTTTGTTGAATGACTGAAGGACAGCGTGGTAGCAGCGTCTTCCCATGCCTCTGCTGATGGGAATTCCACAGAAGGAGCTCCTGTGGCTGCCCCTCCTCTGGGGACTGGCATCCGAGACGCTGAGAGGTGAAGCAATCGGCCAGCGTTTGCCAGCTGCTCAGGGTGGGGCCAGAAGCAGAAGCTGGGCCTCTCCCGGCCCCAGCTGAGGAGCAAACCCTCTCTCCTCCACCCCCGTCCCAGCGTGCAACCTGAGCTTTTTGACACGGCAGAGCCGGTGGCTGACGTCCAGCGAGCAGACGGCCGCCAGCAGAGCCCCAACGGCCTAGGGGCTTGCGTCCCGGAAGGGCCTCAGCCCTCCCCCCAGAGGGAGCCTCCTGCTGGAATCCGGGCTGCCCCGGGCGGTTGCTCCTGGACAGTATTTCAGCGTTTGTCAGACGTAATCGTGGCCTCAAGTGAAATATTTAAACAGAACTTCAAGGAATCCAACAGGAGAAAATGAGTTTTAGGGGAAATGCACACACACACACACACACACACACACGCAAACCGAATTCTTTCCTCAAAACATAAGCTGGAAGGATTTTATCTGCTGTCAGAGGGGAAATTCAAGAGGTTTAATTTAAAACCTGGGCGGGCTCGCAGCCCCTCAGTGGGGCGATTCTTCCATTCTCGCGGAGTGAGATAAGGCAGTGCCGGGCCAGCTTTTGGTTTGGCTTCTGGAACTCCGACTGGCCCTCCTGCGAGCCCGGGGCCTGGGGCTGGAGGGTAGCTCCCCGCGGGGGACGAGACTCGAGATGACATTTATGCAGCCGGGGCCCCCGGGGGATGTGGGCAAGGCCACCAGCGGTGCAGGTGTGGATGGCAGTGCCCGGCCGGGTCACGGTTGCTGACCCCGGCTGCCTGTCACCCGTGCCCGCACCCGCGCCCAGCCCCTTAGCGATTGTGCCAAATCCAGGCTGAGGGAGACGTCAGTCAGGAGGATCCCTGGTACCCGGGGCCCTGGCACCGCGGCATCTCCATCTGTCAGGAGTCAGCCCCCTCCCCGCCTTTGTGGGCCCGATGGACGGAGGGCCGGACCCAGCCGCTCAAAACTGCGGCCTCATCAGCGCACTTCCCCCATCCCTCCGGTGGGGCTTTTATTGGGTGGAAACTGGCAGAAGGAGAGCTCCCAGGTCGCCGGGTCCCCCCGGGTGCTGTGCTGTGCTTCCTGCCATCCCGGATCTCGTGGGAAAATGCCCACTTCCTAGAGAACAGGCTTCCCGGAACCCAGCGCAGGGGGACCCGGTGGCCGCGCGGTGGCTGCTGTCCTGGGAGGCGCGGGCACGTCGGGGAGAGCCTCTGGTTCGTGGTGGCCGGGCGCGAAGGGGGCCTCGAGGCTGAGCCGCAGTCCCCGGGGCTCCCCTCTTCGTCTCTGCATCCCGGGGACCACATGCCCCAGAACTCGGTTAAGAGCATCCCCCGCCGTGTTAGGGAGCCGACCCTGCCGTGCAGTCGGAGGCCCGCTGACCCCGGGGCCTTCTCGAGTCACGACGCCCCGCCCCCCCCCAGCCTCGCCCGCGGTGGCCTGACGGGTAAGGACAGCGACAGGCCCCCACGGGTGGCACCCTCCCCGTCCGCGACCAAGTCCCCCGCCAGCCGCGCGGTTTGCCGGGCGGACGTGCTTCCTCCGCGGTCCGCAGGGCCTTCCTCGCGCCTCTCCGGCTCTGGCGGCTGCCGGCAGCCCTGCACCTGCCTGCGCGTCCTCGTCCCCACCGGCCTTCCTGCACGGCCACCGGCCGCCGCCCTCGCTCGCGCAGTTCGGCAGCTTCGCTTCACTGAGTCTGCAAAGACCCTCCTTCCAGAGAAGGTCCCCCCCAGGTGCTGGGCGCACGTGAACGTGGGGACGCCGTTCCCCCCCGGACGCCCCCGGGACCTGCTCGGCCGGACCTCCCTGTGTCCACCCCGATCCCCACGGCGGCCACGGAGGCAGGTGCCGTCACAAGTCCCGTCGCACGAAGAGGAAACTGAGGCTCAGAGCGGCACGGCCGGAAGACGCTGGAGACGCGCGGAGCCCGGGCGCTGACCCGGCCCAGCAGCCGCCCCCGGACGCACAGAACCCGGGGGAGGCGCCCGCGCAGCTGCGCTCCTGCAGGGCCGGACGCGGGGCGCCCACGAGCACGCGGCCGCCGGCGGGGCTGAAAGTTCCAGGCGCATCCGCGGACCGCGCGCAGCGGAGGGGGAACCAGGAGTGACTGCTGGTGATGAAAATGTCCTGTGCACACTGCTCATCAAGCCACCCCGTGGCAGTGTCTTACATACAAAAGACAGGAAGACTGGCACAGATGTTAGCTCAGGGCCAATCTTCCTCGCCAAAAAAAAAAAAAAAAAAAGTCCTGGAACCACACAGAGGGGGTGGTGGCATGACACTGCGAATGGGCAAAATGCCACTGAATTGATCACTTTAACGTGGTTAATTTTATGTTCTGTGAATTTTGCCAAAAGAAAAATTTTTTTCGGTCGATATCTTTTTTTTTAATCTAGAATCTCACTGCTAGAGTTAATCTTTGGTCCTGAGGTGTTGTAAACGCCACCACTGGGGTCACTTCCTTTGTTGGCGGCTGCAGTTAAGATGCAGTGTGTTTGCTGGGAGGCTGGGAGCGTGTGCTCTGTGTCTCCCGAACTCCCTCATGTGGGCCGGATCATCTCACTGGAAAGCAGAGGGAATGGGAGCCCGGACAGGTAAGCTTGGCTTCCTGTGTTTTGGGGGAAAGGCGTAGGACAAGGGAAGTCCGCCAGCAAGGCCAAATGTCAAAATTCATCTGCTTTTCCTTCTCGTCCTGGCTGCGCATCCCTGCCCTCACTCCACCCACTGCCCCCAGCGCCCAGCTCGGCCACCGGGAGACCGGGGGTCACTGGCCCGCCAGCCCCCAAGCACAGCTCCCTGTGTATCTGTCGAAAGGCCTGAAACAGCAATAGCTCAATTTTATTGATGGCGTCAAAAGCAGTAATTCAAGGAAGCCATTTAAATTCACGGGAGGCAGCCGGAGCAATTACCCGCGTCTGCATCGGGTTCTCCATCATTTCTGTTATTGGCTGTTGGGCGGACGTTTGGTGTGAGGCTGACGTGGTGGCCGGGGGCCGGGGAGGCTGGGGTTTCGTTAGCAGCCCAGAGAAAAATCATGATCAACAGTTCGCCGGATGTGAACCCAAATGCAAAAAGGTTTACGGGGTGTTCCCACGGGGGCGTGCGGGCGCCCAGTGCTTCACATTCATTTTGTCCCTAATCCCAGCCAAATCCCTACAGCCTGTCCCCGCAGCCCCGTTTCAGCACATCATAACAGTGTGATTTGTGACCAAGCAGGTGATTTTTCTCGCAGTTTTCCCCCCGTAGTTAAACTTTAATGAAAGCTTAAATCACACGGAACTCTTCGTGGGTGACAAGCAGATGAGATCAACGGAAGGCACAGCAGTCGGGCTGGGTGGGCTGTGGGGGGGATGCCTGGCCCCCCAGCATCCCCTCTGGGCAGGAGTCAGGATTAATTCAGCTCGAAATCCCTGGCACCTGGCATGGTGCCTGGTACACAGCAGGTGCCGATGAATAATGGAGCGAACACGTGAGCTGTGAGCTGCTTACTTTCAATCGGGCTTTGCCAAACTCGGTTGCTCCCGCAGGTCATGATGTCCTGATATCTTCCGTCTGTGCTGGACATCTTCGGCCCGCCTCTCCAGGTCTGCCCTCCACATTTGTCCCTTCTGCTCCGTGCAGGCCGACCTGTGCAGGCTGCGCCCCAGCTCCCCCCGGCCTCTGGTGTCGGCTGGATCCAGCCAATGGGAGGCACCAGCTGGAGGTGGGAGGCGGGTGCAGAACGAGGCCGTGGTGCTTGTTCCCCAGCTCTCACTGCCTTGCCTCAGTTGGCTGTGTCCCTCCGACAAAGGGTGGGGCTTCTGTTGGGCGGTCCCGTCCTGGAGCCCCCTCTTCAGGTTTCCGCAGAGCTGGCCCCCCCAGGTGTGGGGACAGCTCCCCAGGTTGCTACTGTGGGAGGTCTGTACCCCCCTCCATACTTTTGCAAATAGTCGCTTTGATAGCTTTCCTCGATTTCCCTTCTGAGTGTGCCCTGCTCGCCTTTCCACTGGGTCCTAACTGATAAGACATGGAAACCATGATATTCTGACTATTATCCTCTTAAAATCAGGACATGTGGTTTTACTGAGTGCCGACTTCAGCCTTGTCGTGACTCAGCGGTTCTCGCAGCGTGGCCGCAGACCAGCAGCCTCAGAATCACCTGGAGGTGTGTTAGGGATGCAAATTCTTGGGCCTCACCCCAGACCTACTGGGCGTGGGCGCCGCCCCCTGCATTTTCACAAGCTCCCCAGGTGGTTGTTGATGCCTCCTCGAGCGTGAGAACCGCTGCTCTAAGGAATAATTCCTGTGAATCGTCAGTTTGGTGTGTGGGATCCACCCTCCTGGTGGCCTTCCCAGTGTTCTCCCTCCTTCCTTACTCGTAAACCCTCATTTTGTTTAGGACAGCAGGGTGCCCAGTTTAAACGCCACCTCTCCAGCTTCCTTTGCAAGTAGGGGTTGCCCCGTGACACAGTTCTGGCCAATGAGGTGTAAGTGGGTGGAATTTCCATGAAAGCTCTTTGAAAAGTGAGAGGTCGGGGTGGAAAGCAGAAGCGGCTAGAGCAGATCTTTTGCCGTTACTCTTTCCCCTCTTCCTGCCTGGAATGTAGATGCAAAGCTGGAGGTGGAGCAGCCACTTTGTCACCACAGGCAACCATTAGAATAAAAGGCTTAGAGAAGGGCCTGAGTTTTGAAGGCATAGTGGAGCCATCTCTTAAAGAGAAAGAAGCCCCTTATTTGAGTAAGCCACTGTTATTTGGGTTTTCTGATATATGTGGCCAAATGAGATTCCTAGTTAAAATAAGAATATAACTATGACAATAGAAATTGCTCACCTATGTGTGCCACTCCAACCATCTTGCACGTCATGAAACCGCACTCGAGTGAAAACCTCACGGTTAAAAGCAAGATGCCACTCGAGCCCGGCCAGAGCGGCTTCCCCGTAGAGAGCCAGGGAGAGAGCGGCTGCGGGCTTTACGTGTTTGTTGACACCTGCATCCTGGCAAAGGAGGAGCTGAAAGAACTTCTGGAGTCAAGTTATGCTGAAATTAAACTGGGGGAAGAATTCAGGAGACCTGGGAGGTCTCAAGTGACATTTCTGGCCATCATCATTGTCACTGTCATCGTCCATCAATCTCAAAATTTCTAGAATACCCACTGTCTATAGGGCTCTGTGCCGGGTACTAGGGACTCCAGAGGCACCAGTGGCCTGATCGAAACTCCCAAATCGCTTACTGTGCAGGCACAAGGAGAGACTGGGAGGTCATCAGAGCTGGGCAATCAGGGAGGACTGGCTGAAGGAGGTGGTATTTGGACTGGCAGCCAGGGGAAGAGGAAATGTCCATTGACTGAATATCTGCTTATTCTAGGTGCTGCATAGAGGCTACTGCTGGTCTCATAACTTAGAGTCTGAGATAAAGGGATTACCACGAGGAAACTGAAGCTCAGAGAGGCAAAGTGACTTACCCAATGTCACAGAGCCTTTTGGAGGTGGATCTAGGGCTCAACTCTGAACTGTGAGAGCCCCAGTCTGAGCCTATCGATATGATGAGTGAGGCTTCCCCAGGACCCCAAGAGACGCCGGGGAGGGAAACTTCCCTGGGACTTCTGCTGGAACCACTTGGGCAAAAGCACCTGCCTGAGAAAGAAACGAACCTGGAGGAGAGCAGCACCACGGGGGGAGAGTGATGACATCATTTCACCCCTGAATCCAGCCGTGCCTGAAATCCACCCTGGACTTTTCAGTTCCAGGAACAGGAAATGAGAGTTGGAGTTCCATCGCTGGCGCCCCAGTTGTCCCGACTAACCCAGCCTCACCTCGGAGACTCCCCGCCCCCTCCCCGCCCGGACCGTTTCTCCGTTTCTGTCGCAGCCGACGTTGCTGAGGTCTGGGGAGCAGGGGAAGGGGTTTATGGCGCCTCGCTGCTCAGACCCTTTTCCTCGAGACCGCCCTGCTTTCCCGTGTTCCAGTCCCTCCTCTCAGGACCCTGGAAACTCTACTCGCTCACTGTCCCTCTGGAGCCGCCCACCAAGCTCGGGCTCCCGGCCCGTTTCCAGATCCTCATCCTCGTGTCCTACTAAGTGGCCAGCACTCTTTCCCCCGAGCCCGGCCTCACCGAAGAACCCGCGTTGGCTTTGCCACCTCCACTTTCCCTGCCCCTTTGTGAAGAGGCTAAGGGCACCAGAGGGTCTAGGTTCGAGTCCCAGCCCCTCTGTTCAGCAGCTGCGTGACCTTGGGCAGGTTACTTAACCTCTCTGTACCTTAGTTTCCTCGTCTGCAAGATAGAGACGATAGCAGCACTTCCCTCATGGGGCTGTGGTGGGCTGCAGAGGCCCCCGTGTGTCCCAGCGCTTGGACTCGACTGTCTTCGTTAGTGGGGTGATTAACGAGACGGCGCCCCTCCCCTCCGCTGGCGAGGCTGCCTCCCTTGGCTGGGCCCGGGCACAGGACAGAGATGTCCTCTCTCTCCCTCTCTCTCTTCCTGCGTGGTGCTGCAGCCACCCCTGCCCGCCACCCCGCGGCCTGGAGTTGGAAGCCCCGCCTGCTGGCCCACGCTGACCGCTGACCGCAGTCAGGGCCGCGACCGGGCAGGAGGCAGCCTTTCTCCAACGTGAGCCCTTTCCAGACAAGGCGTCCTTCAGGGCCGTCCTTCCTCACGCGACTCCACGCGGGGGGCCTTTCGAGATGGCGCCAAGGCGCCCCTGTGCCCGGCCTGGGGAGCGTGAAATCAGGCCAGGCGCAATAGAAATCAGGCCCCGGGCCCTCGGCTTCTCTCCGTTGTTGCTGCCTGGGGAGCTCCTCCCAGGCCCGGGGCTCTGGGGACTCAGTGACAACAGCAGTGATGACAGTCACGCTGTTTGCGGACGGCTCGCTCCAGGCTCCGTGCCGAGTGGATTATTTCTCCGAATGGGCACAGCAGCCCTGAGAGCCGGTCCCAGCGTCATCCCCGCTTTGCAGAGGAGAACACTGAGGCACTGGCCCCAGGGGGACAGAAGGGGGCAGGGGCCAGGAGTCTGACGAGTTGGAGAAGTTCTGGAGGACTATGTCACAGGCTGGAAGGATGGTGGCGGAGAGCAGGAGGATGCTGGTGTCGGGGTCAGGCTGGCCTGAGTGAACCAGGCTCCCTGCCTGCTGGGCGAGTTCTTTGTTGTTTTTTTTTTCCCCTGAGGAAGATTAACCCTGAGCTAACTACTGTCAGTCCTCCTCTTTTTTGCTAAGGAAGACTGGCCCTGAGCTCGCATCCATGCCCATCTTCCTCTACTTTATATGTAGGACGCCTACCACAGCATGGCGTGCCAAGCGGTGCCATGTCTGCACCCGGGATCCGAACCGGTGAATGCCAGGCCACCGAAGCGGAACGTGCGCACCCAACTGCTGTGCCACCGGGCCGGCCCCTGGGCGAGTTCTTGAAGCCCCCGCATCTCAGGGTCCTTCTCTGTCAAATGGAGCCGACTGTGGCCTCCTTTCTGGGCTGTTAGGAGCATTGAGGGGAAAGTGGACCTGGAGCCACGGTCCACACGTACACGTGGACTACAGGAGGGGCTCCGGAAGTGGAGCTGGAAAGGCCACGGGAGGATGCAATTCCGCTGAATATCCTGGGAAAGCGGCCTTTCACTGTCCCTCACTCCTTCCAAGATGCTGACTTTTAACAACCAGCCACTTTCAAGTGGGAATAAGTGAGAGGAAGAAAGAGAAAAGAACAGTAGGTATGATTTTTAGCTGTAAGAAACCCTAACCCAGCGATGTAAACAGACAGGGTTTAATTTTCCCATACAAACAGAGGCCTTGGGACTGGGGAGGTCGTTCCAGGTCACTGTCCGTGCTTCTCCTAGCCTTTCGCTCAGATCACGAGATGGCCGCCATGACTCCAGGCATTGCATCCACATTCAAGACAGCAATAAAGGGCACAGGGGGCATCAGCTACCTTTACTCCTTTTATCAGGAAATGAAAACCTTTCCCACAATCTCCCCAGTTGACTTCTGCCTCCAGCTCGTTGGCCAGAACTGCAAGGGAGCCTGGGAAAGCAAATAGCCTTTCTGGACCTGTGGTAGATGCAGGCATGGAAGAAAGGCTGGGAATGGGGGACGAGTCAGCCACGGTGTATGTCACCGAGAGCCCACCCATTGCCAACGTCTTTGGATTAGAGACAACCACACAAAACTCAACAGAGTTAAGAACACAAGCCGTGGAGCTGGGTCGCCTGGGTTCAAGTCCCGGCTCGGCCATTTCCTAGCTGTGTGACCTTGGGCAAGTTACTTACCGGCTCTGTGTCTCAGAGTCCTTATCTGTAAAATGGCGATCCATCGCACCTGCTCTGTGGGGTCGTAATCTGAGTTAAATGTTCATAAGTGCAAAGGGCCTGGACAGCGCCCAGCCAGACGTGCTCTATAGAGGCGTAGCTGCCACTGTCCCCACCGTCTCCCCTCCCAGTCCCCTCACGGCTGAGCCCTGACAGAGGTCACATTGTCCTGGTTTTTACATGACTCGTTATGCACCGAAAACATACCCAGTTGCTGGGGGAGAACTGGCCAACTCCACAAGGCAAACTGTAGCGTTCCAGGATGGCCTTGTGAATTCCCTCATGTGAACAAAGCCAGGAGAAAGAAACAGCCCCGCCTCTCTGCATCTACCAGCCAGTTAGCTCCCTGCTCCTCCAGGACGGCACGGGCTGCACAGAACATTACTGAAAAGGACAGAAAAGGCCCAGAGGATCCTCTGAAGCCTTTCCACCCGTCTAACGCTAACTCGCCCCTAACGGTGACGGACGCCACCTGACGCCTGGCCTGCTGGGCTGGGGCCAAGGGCTACCTGAGGAGGGCATTCCACCCCACTGGCATCCTTGTTTCCTGAGTGCGTGGGGGCAGCCCGGGTGCCGGCAGCACTGGCTCGATCTTTGGCAGGAGGTAAGGGCTGGGAGGCTTCTAGAAGCTTCTGAACGCCATCCTGGGGCCGGAAGGGCTGGCCTGCTGTCCTCTGACCTCCTGGTTCCTTCCAGGGAGACGACCAGGCCCCATTCACGGGGCCTGAGGAAGGTGCTGGAGCGTTGGCCCCCTGAAGCTGGCTGCACCCGCTCCTGGACGCTGTCCTGCAGATGCTGGCACGTGGGCCGGTCTTCTGTTTTCACCGGTGAGTCACCCCTGGGAGACAGAGCTGTATTGTTGGCAGTTCCTTTTGACTTTACGGCGGCCCCTGCCCTTCCCTCCTCACTCTCCCTGTGCCAGCCTGGCGGAGCGCAGGGCCTGCTGCTGACGGGGGCCTGCTTGCTCTCCATCACTCAGGGGAGACTGAGTAGGGCTTTCTTTGGAGATGTGGACAAACTGTGGTGTACCTGGAGTTGCTTTGTGAATTACCAGGCACCACCATTCTGTGAACGAGTCACAATGCTGTGAAGGTTTGACATTCTGGAACCCGTAGATGTGGAGGTGGCCTCTTGGGAACTGGGAACATCCCGGACCATGGTGCTGGGGCCTGCTTTTACTTTCCCCACCAGCACCATCTCGGACTCAGTCTAGAGTGTGTGGGTGACAGGGCACCTCAGACCTTCCCCCACCCGACAAGCCCAGACCTGACGGGTTTTCCCCAAACCAGCTCACTGTGTCACATGTAAACAGGCTGCAGAGCACGTTCAAAGGAACCATGTTCTGAGAACTGAAGGTGACCACAAATGGGCCATTCTGACCCAAACAGTCATAACAGCTCCGCGCTGTGCGTCAGGGGCCGTGGGACACAACTTGGACATTAACAGAATGGGGCGACCTGGCTGTATCTGGCGTGAAGTGATGTCCCAGATGTAGAGGGTTCAATGAAAAAAGCAAGTCTTAGGACAATATAGAACAGAAAATGGAAAAAAAGAACAAAAAGTTAAAAGCTACGCCAAGCCCTTTTCTGCTGAGACGCAGCGGTATGGCACAGAGGTCAAAGGTGAGGGTCAGGGCCAGCGTTTTTCTGTGTCAGCACCTGTGCGTTACATGCGTCAGTTTTTAACGGAGAGAAGATGAGACTGAGTGATGCTGTTTTCAAAGGGTTAATCGCGGGCCGTTGGAGCCCTCCTGACGGCCCTGCCGTCTGGGGGGCCGGCCGGGCGGTTATGGGGGGGACCGGCCTTCCTCCCGCTCCTCCCGGCTCCTGGCCACCCGGGGCCGGAGTCCTTCACCAAAGCAGGCTCCTTCCTGCCCAGGGCGAGCTGAGATTAAACGCTCTGTTGACGCACAAAGGAACAGCTTCATCTGGAAAATTCCACGGCAGGGCGAGGCTTGCCGGCCGTTGGATCGTGCAGGGCCCGGGGCCTCCTGAGCTCCCTGAGAGCTCGGTGGGTGGGGGCCGTGCAGTCACTGAGCACCTACTGTGTGTGGGACCGCCCCAGGCTCGGAGAGCCCTGGATGAGCGTGAGTTCCAGCCGGTTCTGAGCTCCAGGACAGTGAAGTGGACAGGTGGAATGTCTGCTCTCACTGGGTGGCCTCTCGGAGGAGGTGACCTTGGCACAGAAATCTGAGTCAATCAAGGGAGCTGAGCATGAGCCTCTGGGGGAAGAGCCTTCCAGCAGCAGGCACAGCGAGTGCAAAGGCCCTGAGGCTGGAGTGGGCTTGGCATGTTCTGGAAAGAACGAGGAGGCCAGTGGAGTTGGCATATCATGGTTGAGGGGGAAATGAGGGGAATGAGGTCAGCGAGGTTGGCAGGGCCCAGCCCTGCTGGGCCTCGTTCCTGGTGAGGAATCTGGGTTTGGGAAATAGCTTTCTCGTTCATTCCAGACATGGTTTTTAAACACTAGTTCTGTGCAAAGCTGCTCGGGTGCCCTCCCCGGCGTTTTCAGTTTAGCTGGGAAGTGAGACGGACTCCCCTGTCCACGCGGTGAAGGTGAGGTCGGAACCCGCCTGCTCCCGAGCGCGGGCGGGGGATGGAGGCCCAGAGAGGGCGTGTGGGGGTGAGAGGCAGAGCTGCGGACCAGCTGGGCCTGGTGAGGCCACCAGCACTCAGGACACGCAGTTAAGGAGGGGCCCCCGGGGCCGTGCATGTGCAGGGCTGGACCCCCAAGAACGGGGGCCTCCTGAAAACTTGTACCTGGGGCCTCCCCTGCGCACGCCAGGCCCGGACCTGCTGAGGACGCTCGGCTCTGGTCTCTGGGGACCCGGGAGCCCCAGAAGCAGCTCGGGCCCGGCAGCGGTGGAGGGAGCAGTGATGGTCTCCTTGAGCCGACCTCGGACCAGCCACATTCTGGAAGCTTCCAGCCTGTGCTTCACAGGAGGCGGCTAGGGGGTCCCAGGGGGAGCCCTGTCCTCCCCAAACCAAGGGCATGTGTCCATTTCACCCGTGGCCGTGTGGGGGCTGCCCCGCGTTACGGGCTGAGCTGTGTCCCCCGTAACGTGCGTTGCAGTCTGTCCCTGGAACCTGCGAATGGGGCTTTTTGGAAATGGGGTCTTTGCAGATGTGATCGAGCTAAGATGGGGTCGTTCGGGTGGGCCGAACCCAGTGTGACGGTCCCCTCATAAGAAGAGGAGGGCCACCCGGGGGAGGAGTGTGACGACCGAGGCAGAGATGGGGGTGGGGCGGCCACTGTCAGGGGCCACCTGGGGCCCCCAGAGGCCGGAAAAGACACGCAGCGTCCTCCCCTCGAGCCGTTGGTGGGAGCCCGGCCCTGCAGCCCCCTCGATGTCGGACTTCTGCCCCCAGAGCTGCTGATCTCAGCCCCCCAGTGTGGGGTCCTGTTCTGGCGGCCCCAGGACACTGACACCGGGTGTGTACTGGGGAGCGGAGGCCCCGAGGGTGCGGTGACCCGCCACAGCCACGCAGCCGGTCAGGGCGGTCAGGACTGGAGTGGGGCCGGGGGTTCCTGCCATCGGCACAGCCCGGCCCTGTCCCAGCGCAGGTTGGGGCCGTGCCCCGGGGAGGCCAATGCGCTGGCGGGTAGACCAGCCGGGCGGCCGAGCCCAGAGGGCGACTCCTCGCTGCCAGCGCAGCCTCTTCCCGCTGCGGCCTCGCTCGCGGACTGCTGTGTCGTCCAGCGTCCGTGCCCCGGGGACGGCGGCCCCGTCCGGGTCGGACTGCCGTTCTGTGAGGACTCAGAGCAGCTCCGTCAGGCTTTTCGGGCCAGACGGTCTCGGTGGCAACCACTCAGCTTTGCCGGCTGGAGAATGGAAGCGTCACGTGTAAGAACACTGGGTGCGGCTGTGCCCCGATAAACCTTTATTTACAAAACAGGCTTGGGGCAGGATTTGGCCGGTGGGCCTTAGTTTGCTGACCCCTGGTCTAAGCTAATCATGGCCACCCTGTGCTCTCTTGCTAAGTTCTCATGTGCCCCAACGTCAGCCAATGAGATGCGAGGGGGACTCCAGTAGGGAGGTTATGGGAGTCTTGCTCTTGAAAAGGGATGACTGGCTCGTCTTGAGCTACACTTTGTCCTGGTGGGATGTGATGACTGGATCTGCTGCAGCCATTTTGGGACCTTGAAGAGCAAGATCTATATGGAAGGTGGCAGAAAGAGAGGGAAAGAGCCTGGTCCTGAAGCCACCGTGGAGCTGCTCAATCAAGACTCCCGGGAGCTCCCTCGTCTCAGGATTTCTTACGGAAATAGAAGTGTTCATTATTAAAGCTACTTGAATTAGGATTTTTCTGTTATTTGCTGCCTAAGAATTCTGACTGGTGCAGCCTCCCCCAGGTGCCCCAGGCCTTTGGGCTGCTGACTCCCTCCTGCCCGGTTAGCGCCCCCTTCTCTGGGCCCTGCAGGCAGTGGCCGCCGCCCAGGCCACAGCGCAGGGAAGAGCGTCCAGAATTGGAAGTCTGGAGCTCCAGCTCCCTGCCCCACAACTGTGTGACTTTGACCAAACCAGCGGCCTTCCATCTGTGAAATGAGGGCAGCTCCACTGGTCAGACAGGTTTGCTGAGGTCTGAGGCAGTGACGATGACAACAGCTAGGACTGTGTGACACCACCTGGTGACAGCCAGGGCTCCACCCATGTGCCCTGGTTCTCTGGCCCAATTCTGCCGTCCGTGTGCCTGGCTCCTGATGGCCTGCGCTGGGCCTCGCTCTGTGCCCAGCTCGGGGTCTTGGGAGAGCTGCGGCCCCGTGCCCAGAGGCCTCACCTGCCTGGCAGTTGTCGTCCCCCTGGGGCAGCCCCTGGGCGACCAGCGAGAGTGAGGGTCCGGCCCCCTTGCCTCAAGGAGGACAGGCGCTGAGGCGTCACACACACACCAGAACCCCCCACGGATCAGGCTAGGGCTGGGTTGGTGCCTCAAGGGACCCCTCTTGTCACTGCTCGTCCCTCTGGAGCACCTCGCACAAATCCTCATCTCAGGGCCCCTGTCTGGGACCTAGGGAAGCCCCAGCGTGCCCTCTGTGCCTCTTGCTCATCTAAGTGCTTTGCACGTCTTAACTCATCCAGTCCTCCCAAGGACTCTCTGAAGCGGGCGCTACTATCCCATGCTGCAGAAGGGGCAACCGATGCCCAGAGAGGTTGAGTAACCTGTCCAGGGTCACACAGCTCGTCTGGCTCCAGAGTTCGTATCTTAACTATTGCACTCTACTATACCACAGAGCTCTGGAACCAGAAATCCTGGGTTCAAGCCTTGGCTCTGCTTTTTACTAGTCTTGTGACCCTGGGCAAGCCATTTTGTCTCTTTGGGCCTCAGCCTTTTCGTCCTTACAGAGAATTAGAGGCCGATCCTTGCCAAGGGCTGAGTGCGCGTCCAGCACATCAGCTGGTGTTAGTTGTTGGGGTAGACCCGTGTCTTTGAGCTGCTTCACCTGCTGGGCTCGTGAGCAGGCAGGGAGCTCTCAGGACCCCCGTGCGACCCCTGGGGGAGGAGGGGGAGAGGCGGCCCTCGGAGCCCCTGCCCACTCAGTGCCTGGCGGAGGCATGATGGGGCCTACGCGAGAGAGGGCAGCCGGGGCTGTTGCCATGGCAGCAGCCTCCCACGGGGAGCCTGTGGGTCTCCACCCACCCGGCCCAGGGCAGCCAGGTGGCCACGCCCCTGCGCCCACCGACAGCTCCGAATTGACTGCCTGAGCAGCTCTGGGCACAGTACGCCTCGCTCAGCGAGGCCCCCCGAGGCCTGGGGAGCACAGGAGGCTCCCACAGTTGGAGGGGGCCCTGAGGCCAGCCTGCCCCCAGGACTCCCACCCTCTTTTCTCTGCCGTTCTCTGTGCAGGAGGCAGGAGCAGGTGAGAGGTTCGAATCTAGCTCAGTCCCTTTCTAGCTGGGTGGCCTTGGGCAAGTTGCTTTACTTCTCTGGGCTCAGTGTCACGATCTAAAGAAACAGTGATAACGAGATGGGGTTCACGGAGCTGCCTGGGAGGGCTGCTGGAGGACCCGGGTCTGGCGCCTGCTGCCTCCCAGGTGCTAAGCGCTGTGGGGAGGTGCCCTGGACTCCTCACTTGTTTGTGATGTTGTCCTGTCATTTCTGCCCCTATTTTACAGGTGGGGAAACTGAGGCACAAGGCAGTTGAGCTACCTGCCCCCTCAGGCCTCTGCTTCCCCTAGCGCTTCTCTATGTCGCTGACGGGGCCCTCGGGGAACAGCCAGGACACACAGCCGGCAGTACCAGCCCTGACTGAGTGCGGGCCTGGTGCTGGCGGCCCAGCCCGGTGGAGGTGGCTTGGGGCAGAGTGGGGACCCTCAGGAAGGGGCATGCAGACGCGGGGACCACCAGTTCCCCACCTCCGTAGGGTTTCCGGCTCTGGCCCTGAGGGCTCAGGTGTCCCCACGGCCTCTCTCCCCCCGAAGGTCAAGGTTGGAGCAGAGGCCGCCGACGCAGAGGGACAACCAGCCCTCACTCTGCCCGCCAGCGTCTCCTCTGCCTGAGGGGTGCTTTCGGGTTAATACTCAGCCACATCAAACCACA